TCCCGAGAAAAAAAATTACGATTAATTTATCGACTGCTGCTAATTGAAAAGCACATTAAGAAGTAATTTATTACGGTTCATGATCAAATTACCATAGCAGAATCTCTGCACCAGTTTTTCGTACCTCCCAAAAAGAAATTGACACCAGTTTAGCGTTGGTTTGCTGCTCTCACACCACACTACACACAGTATGCTGTAGTGTGAGAGCGGCAAAGCGGCATCATACTGTGTGTAATGTGGTGTCAGAGCAACAAACCAGCACTAAACTGGTGTCAATTTCTTTTTGGGCTGCAAAAGGGTCGCTGTGTAGAATTATAAAAATGCCAATCACTTGAAATAATAAAAGCCAAAAAAAATTCTAAAATCGAATTGAACATGTTGATGAAAAATAATCCAACTAAAAATTGTCACTTAAAAAGCATTTATTTTCATTCGAAAAATATTCTGCATGCCGAAGACAAGACTAAATTTTGTTTTATTGTATTATATATTATTGTTTTATATATTTTAAGTAGCGTTTACTTCGACGTTTATTTTCTTTGAAAAGAATTATGAAAGGGTAAACGGACAAATACCGTGTTTTTGTTTACAAAATCATTCAACTGAAAGGCAGCGGCTACAGCAGCCAAAATAAAAAAAGATTCAATTCAAAACAAACGACGCTCAAGTGTATTTTCGGCATCAGTTGGGCCATATGAATCATCGCTTGAACCTTCCTGAAACGAAAAAAAAACAACGACGCGATTAAAAGAAATCAAAATTGGCACAATGTATAAACGAAAAATGAATCCCACATGATAGCTGACTGAAAAATATTCAATTTACTCACCGTTTGAATGTCAGTATCACCATCGCCATCGTGGCCCGTGGATGTGGAATCGTTCTGGATAGATGTCTTATCCAATGCAATCATGACTTGCAAAACATTCCGAATACGAATCAAAATTCCATTCGAAACAAGGAATTTTATTGGACGGTCACCAAAATTAAATATGACTTGATGCTGTGTTGTTGTGGGACGTTGATTGCCAGCAGAGTCATTTGCGGTTGCTCGTGCAAGGCATGCCGAAAAAAATGCACAAACTTGCAACCAAATATCATTGGCAATGAGAAATATCAACGATTGGCCACCCGAAACGAACGTAATACGATGAATTTGATCACCAAAGTGATTACCGGCAAATCGATCGGTCAATAGATTTTGATTGCGAGCTGTAGCCACTTGAATTGGCACATCACACAAATTCGATCGGGACAAAGGATTTTCAGCGCCGAACCAATCAGTTTCAAATAGACGAATCAATGATCTAATCGATTCGTTCGGTTCCTGAACACGCGGAATAGCGTTTCCATTTTCTGCTGTCGCGTTGTCTGTGACTAAAAGCTCGGTGATCTGGTTGAACAAAACATAACGATAAAACAATCCCAATAAATCGTTCGGCAAAGCCAACACCATGTGCATCCAAATGTCCCGTGCAATGAGAATTGTATTACGTTGACCATCGTTCGAGGGTAATTCAACTTCGATTGTGTTGTCGGATTGTAATTTAACGATAGCTCCTTCGAAAACCGTTAGCGTTCCAAGCAAATCACCCGACAAACCCATGTACAACCAAATTTCTCGTTCAATGCGTATTTTTGTGCGTTGACCATCGTTCAAGATCAATTCGATTTCGATTTTGTCATCGTTGTCGTTGTCGTTGTCGTTATCGTCGCACTGTTCGATTTCATAATCGTTTGAGCCAGTCGATTCAAGCCAATTGCGTGAAAATGACCCAATTAATCCGTCAATTGCATCATCGTCACAACTTTCATTCCATTCGGCACAGTCAGTTGAAGGGACATTTTCTCCATTACTTGGAAACATAAACTGGTGCAATAACATCAACGTATGGCCGGATGCACATTCAAAGTCGAGTTCGTCATCGACAAACGGCAGGTCTGGATCGTTCTGAAGAGCAATGTCGACCGCTTTCACAATTTTCAAAACTGGCAACAAAAAATACACTTGCTAAACACTATCGCAAAAATATTTGATGTATTGCATCTTACCTGGCAATTTCTTCAATTGCTCTTTGATGGCTTTGATTTTGCCGTCACGTTTTAGTTTTGCTTGTATAATTTCAATTTTTTCTTGTGACAAACGTTCAACTTTGACAAACGACTTTGGGAGTGTAGATGCCATGGTTTCAGCTTCCAATTTTTTCGGTTTCTTCTGGCCGGGTGTTTTGACGGATGGCTCAATGGGTGCGCGATTGTATTTTGTAATACTTCCATCGGCTTCCTTAATGTAAACCACGTTTCTGATTTTTTTGTAAATTTCTGGAAACGCACATTCGTACAAAAACATGAGAAAATTCGTTTTTCTCTGAAATCTCCATTCAATAACATGTAAAATATTTTCTTACCCATTTTGAAACGTAGCCAAATATCCAAATTTTGTTCCGATGGAATGAAATTGAAAATGCAGAAAAAGAATTTCAACACGTTATGAAAACGTTGAGTCAAGTGTGTGCACGCACGATGAGCATCAGCGAAAGAAAGAAAGAAAATACGACGCAATATGGCGCATAACCAGATATCTCTTTGCATCAGTCGATTCGTACGCGTCAAATGCGATAATTCGAACAAACCCTGCGCTTTTGCTCGCCCGAAAAGTATGACTTGTCAAATTCGAAAATCCACGGTGGACAATTATAAATTACATTTGTGCGATATTTGTTTTGAATTAATTCTGCTTTATTTTGGCTGCCGTCGTCGCTGCCTTGACCTGCGCATTTTGTCTTGTTCATTATTCCAAGTGATCAGATTTTTTTTGTAGTTTTAAATAGCGACCCTTTTGCAGGTACAGAAAATGGTGCAGAGATGCTGCTATGGTAATTTGATAATGAACCCTAATAAATTACTTCTTAATGTGCTTTTTAATTAAACACAGGCTTCATTTTTTCAGTAGCCAAAAGTGAATTAAAAATTCTGTATGGAAAAAGTCTAAAGGAAATTTGATTTAATACCAAAGATTGGTTGAAGAAATAGTTTTTGTTTATTAAGTAAATAGAGTTAATTCATTCTCCGTTTTCTTTGCCTTATTTATAATGTTGTTGATTGCCGATTTGATAAGGATGTTTAACCTCTTCATACGCACATCTTTTGGGCCCTTTTGTAATTTCATTGCAGTAAGGCGTTCTTCAAAAATTCCTCGAATGATTTTAACATTTGATGGCGACATCGGTTTTTTGCTTTTGTCTTTCTTGGATTGGCCTGTGACCGATGTACCTTAGAATTTTATGGAACGATTCAATTTTTATCGATTAGAAAATATTATTAAACGATTTTTCAATTAAATCAATTTGGTACTTTTGGTTTAATACCTTTTAGCGTTTCTAAATCGTCTTTATATAAAGACCGCATTACGATTAAAACAAAAGTCGAATCGGTGCTGATCTCCGCATTTTTTGATCGCATTTCGGCTAGAACATCGGCTGGAAAAATATGTGCGTAACTTTCAAATGGCTCTTTCTCAGGTGCAATGATCTTTGAATGGTTGTTAATAGACGAGTCGGACTTTTTTTCTGGTGTGGTGTACGCTACATTGTCAATATTTGATTCTTCCTTTTTATCAAGCTCTTTACTCAGTAATTCGATTTTTTTATCTTTTTTTTCAATCATGTATAGGCATGACGACAACGCTTTTTCAATGTTTTGTAGTTTAGATTTTTCTTCCTCTAAAATACGTTTCAATTCGACCTTTTTCCCTTCACACTGCGAGCAACAACTTGTTTCTTTGAGTTTTTTGTCCAAACAGTTTTGATAAAAATCCTGTTTATCCGATACGGCTGACACTGTTTTCACTTTAGAAAAAAAACTTGTAATTTTTCCATCTTTTTTCAATTCTTCCATTATGAAAATTACTTTGACAAGTGAAATAAACTTTCTGTGTCATACGATTTGTTCCAGTTGTTTGCATAAATAATGTAAAAAGACAGAAAACGGCCGACACACACAAACAAGTGTAACATTTTCGAATTTTACAAGTCATACTTTTCGGGCAAGCAAAAGCGCAGGGTTTGTTCGAATTATCGCATTTGACGCGTACGAATCGACTGATGCAAAGAGATATCTGGTTATGCGCCATACTGCGTCGTATTTTCTTTCTTTCTTTCGCTGATGCTCATCGTGCGTGCACACACTTGACTCAACGTTTTCATAACGTGTTGAAATTCTTTTTCTGCATTTTCAATTTCATTCCATCGGAACAAAATTTGGATATTTGGCTACGTTTCAAAATGGGTAAGAAAATATTTTACATGTTATTGAATGGAGATTTCAGAGAAAAACGAATTTTCTCATGTTTTTGTACGAATGTGCGTTTCCAGAAATTTACAAAAAAATCAGAAACGTGGTTTACATTAAGGAAGCCGATGGAAGTATTACAAAATACAATCGCGCACCCATTGAGCCATCCGTCAAAACACCCGGCCAGAAGAAACCGAAAAAATTGGAAGCTGAAACCATGGCATCTACACTCCCAAAGTCGTTTGTCAAAGTTGAACGTTTGTCACAAGAAAAAATTGAAATTATACAAGCAAAACTAAAACGTGACGGCAAAATCAAAGCCATCAAAGAGCAATTGAAGAAATTGCCAGGTAAGATGCAATACATCAAATATTTTTGCGATAGTGTTTAGCAAGTGTATTTTTTGTTGCCAGTTTTGAAAATTGTGAAAGCGGTCGACATTGCTCTTCAGAACGATCCAGACCTGCCGTTTGTCGATGACGAACTCGACTTTGAATGTGCATCCGACCATACGTTGATGTTATTGCACCAGTTTATGTTTCCAAGTAACGGAGAAAATGTCCCTTCAACTGACTGTGCCGAATGGAATGAAAGTTGTGACGATGATGCAATTGACGGATTAATTGGGTCATTTTCACGCAATTGGCTTGAATCGACTGGCTCAAACGATTATGAAATCGAACAGTGCGACGATAACGACAACGACAACGACAACGATGACAAAATCGAAATCGAATTGATCTTGAACGATGGTCAACGCACAAAAATACGCATTGAACGAGAAATTTGGTTGTACATGGGTTTGTCGGGTGATTTGCTTGGAACGCTAACGGTTTTCGAAGGAGCTATCGTTAAATTACAATCCGACAACACAATCGAAGTTGAATTACCCTCGAACGATGGTCAACGTAATACAATTCTCATTGCACGGGACATTTGGATGCACATGGTGTTGGCTTTGCCGAACGATTTATTGGGATTGCCAACATTCGATGGTGTCGAGTTTCAGCAGCCCAATGCAATCGAAAATATTACTGCCGATCGTATTTCTGAAGAAAACGAAGAAGTCAACAACGACCACTACGACGGCGACGCCGAAGAAGAAAGTGACACTGACACGGTGAGTAATTTGAATATTTTTCAGTCAGCTATCATGTGGGATTCATTTTTCATTTATACATTGTGTCAATTCTGATTTCTTTTAATCGCGTCGTTCTTTTTTTTCGTTTCAGGAAGGTTCAAGCGATGATTCATATGGCCCAACTGATTCCCCAAATAAACGAGATGCTGCTTTGTTTGCTCTCTACCACGGACAATAACAAAAAAATCTTGGGCGTCGTTTGTTTTGAATTGAATGTTTTTTTATTTTGGCTGCCGTAGCCGCAGCCTTTCAGTTTAATGATAATGTAAACATAAACATGGTATATGTCCGTTTACTCTTAAGTAAACGCTACTCAATAAAAAATGTCTCAGTCTTGTCTTCGGCATGCAGAATATTTTTCGAATGAAAATAAATAAATAATTTATTACTACTAGTGACACTTTTTGGTTGGATTATTTTTCATTCACAATTCGATTTTAGAATTGTTTTAGGCTTTTATTATTTTAAGTGATTAGCATTGTTATAATTACATAGACTTTTTAGAAAGTGCAAAAAAGCCATAGCCTAGCTTACATAAAGCTATTGATAGAGTTTTCGTTGAATTCGCCGCTCGGTATTTGCATGCGGCATTACCGCAAGCACACACGTATAGTATACGGTAATGTGATGCCGCTCTGCCGCTCTCACACCACAGCATACTGTGTATTATATGGTGTGAGAGCAGCAAACCAGCGGCACATTAGTGTATGCTACAGTTGTGAGCGTGAGTGTGGTGTGGATTATTTATTGGGAGTGAAGCACTTTCAGTATGCTTGCGTTCAGAATTTTCACTTGCATGTGCGATGTCAAAGAAATTAGGGAAAAAACCATTGTAGGAAGTTTTGCGACTTATCCATTCAAACTCACCATGATTCATATGGTCGCCACAACTTTAAATCTCTGTTTATATTAGAAAATTTTCAGCTTAAATGCAGTTCACAAAGGTTTCAGACTTACCATAATCTCATCACACTACATGTACGAGTAGGAAAAATTGTATCTGTTTGTTTATGTCAAATCGTATAAAAAAATGCATGGCTCTTCTACCAAAGACATGGGTGTTGCTCGAGCTCTCGGATTAAAGGTGTCAAACGGACACTCGTTTGTCCGTCCGTCCGTCCTTTTACAAATTTAGGACGGACACAATTTTTTGTCCGTCCGTTTAAAAATTTAGGACGGACAAATTTTTTTGTCCGTCCGTTTGAAAATTTAGGACGGACAAATTTTTTTGTCCGTCCGTTTGAAAATTTAGGACGAACAAAAAAAAATTTGTCCGTCCGTTTGATATTTTGATCGTCCAAAAATGCCCGCAAATCTAACTTTTAGAACATCCAATAAGCTATTATAACTTAGTTTTCGACGAGGAATTCATTTCTGATCTTGTTTTATTAAAAATATCGTCAGGAGTCAAACGAACATATACTTTTGTCCGTCCTTCTGTAAGAAATGTCCGTCCGTCCGTCCTAAATTTTCAAACGGACGGACAAAAAAATTTGTCCGTCCTAAATTTACGAGCATACGAAGACGGGCGATGACGTAAGCAAAAATTGTGTAAAACACAAATGGCTGATATCATTTTCTCAAGCGTTTCTGGCTTATGCTCTATTTCTTTTCGGAGTATTCGCCAGCGTGCGGAGGCAATTCCAAAAGCATTTTCGATTTCGGGCTCTCGAGACTCTATAATTGAACACATGATCAGATCTTGATGAATTTTGGCCAGGAATAGGTTTTATCAATCGATCGGATGCCGCAAATGCATCGTCTGCAACAACGCCAATTGGGACGGGTAAAGTTCGGCCTGGCAGTGGGCGATGATCTGGTATATTCAGACTGTTATTCATCAGCGCAGTAGAAAATGGACAAGCATTAAAAATGCTACCGTCAGATGCTGAGCCTTTAGCTCCAACGTTCACGTATAAAAATTCATAATTAGCATTTGCCATTGCTAGTAGAACAATGCTAAAGTAGCCCTTGTAATTATAATATGCACTTCCGGATTGAAGTGGAGCTTTGCAGCGATTATGCTTGCCGTCTAGGGCGCTAATACAGTTGGGAAAATTCCACATTGTTTCAAACTGTGACGCCACTTGATTCTACGCCTCTGCCGTCGTTGGTGTCTAGAATTTTTTTCGTAATTGCATTATTACATGTACATATGGGCGAGGGTCAGGTCGGTAACGTTACAATTCGCACGCCTATTTCGCCCATATCTCTGAAAATAATAATGAAAACCCAAAATTTCAAAAGTGCATATGATAGTGCTGCCCATACCACACATTTCAAAGAAAAGTTTTTATTTTTATCACCTATAGTATTGGACTTATGAACGATTAAAGGCGTCGGTAACGTTACAAAATTTTGGAAGTGATTTGCGAGGTTGCTCAACGTTTTTATGAAAATTAGCGAATCTACCCAGGCATAAATCTGTTGTCACTCATTATATCGTAGATGAAGGATCAAAGAAAAGATAGAAATACAGGGTGTGCATGAAAAACTGTTTTGGTGGTCTCTGGACCCAGTAGGCGTAGAATCGGTAACGTTACAAAAAAAATCGGTAACGTTACACGTGCGATTTGAGTGCTCCAAAAACCAGAAAAGAAAATAAAAATCATATTTTCTCGAATTTATTATTAAAGTTTTGGCCCATTTCTACAAAAATATGTAAAGGTTCTTGTAGTTTTGTAAAAGCATAGTAGAAATCTTGTGCTTTCAAAAAACGGTCGGTAACGTTACAAAAATCGGAAAAAAATCGAAAATTTGTAGATTTTCATATGAAAAAATTATCCGAATTGGATAAAATTTTCAGAGAATATAAGTTTTATGAAATAATTAAGCTATGCAAAAATTCATTGCGATCGAACGACGTTAATATACTTTTTTGCTCCTTAGAAACATTTTTTGCGTGGTTTCGTCTTACTGACCCTTGCCCATATGTACATATCAAATCAAATCAATCATTCACCTTCAAATATTCATTTTTCAGACAATCGTACAATGCTTGGCAAACTTCTGGCAAAATTTTGTATATTGTTGATGGTGCAATGCGAAATAAGTGAGAGAGCGTTGCAATACTGTCACCACATGCTAAATATTTCAAAGTTATTGCCACACGCTCTTGAACTGTAATAGCCACACGGAAGAATGTATTTTGTTTTTCTACACGGTTTCGAACCACTTGACACAATTCTTTAAATTCAGACTGTGATACATGCGCAAAACTTCGGTAAAAACTATCGCCTTCACTGGCGGAATTGGCCATTAATCTTTCGAAATAACTGTTCGATTCACCTCTAAACCTCTTCTTCGATTTCGTCTAATAATAGGGCTGCGGCAACAATTGCCATGTTTCGATTCATTTTCGGTGTTCTGCAGTTGCTCGTTCTGAATAAACTGATTAATTTTTCAAAATGCATACAACAAATGTACTTGGCAAGAGCAAAAATTCACTTGCTGCAATTGAAAATTTACTTGCAAAGTATGTAGGTGCTTGCAAGCACTTGCGCGCAAATACTTTCGTCGCAAGTAAAATCCAACTTGCAGTAAGCAAAATGCTTGCAAAGTGTAGAAATGCTTGCAAGCACTTGCACGGAGTAGATTTTGACTTGCACTTGCATGCAAGCGCTTTGCTTGCAAGGTGTATTCCCACCTTTAGTTATGATATCAATACCACCACGATCAATTTGCATGACGTTCCATACTCACCAACTACATTCAAATATATGGCCAA